TCGAAGGTACCTTCGGTTATGCGGCTCAAACGGTTGCCATCCAGGTACAGGGTGTGTAGATTTGGGAGTTTGGCAAAGCAACCTTCCTCCACTTCTTCCAGCTGGTTGTTACTCAGCAGCAACGTGTTCAGCAATGGAAGGTGAGCAAAATCATCTCTGGCTAGACGCCGGATGTGGTTGAACCTCAAGTCGAGGATAGTGGTTGTCGGAGGAATGCCACGGACTACTTCCACCAAGTTTTGTCCAAAACAGCGCACCGTACTTCTGTAACAGGAACATTCCTGAGGACAGTAGAGTTGGCCTAGCGCCGAACCGACGACCCCGATCCACAGACAGGCCAGCGCCAGTAACGGCGCCGCAGCTGATGCAGAATGCATTCCTTTCAAGATGACTGTTTGAAACTCACTGAGCCCTTTTATACGGCTGCCATAACGCCGAAGAGTTCGGTGCATCTTTCCGACGTCGAGCTCGTTGCCGAAGCACGGAAGCTAGGCGAGGCAATTCTCGGCCAGGTCGTTGTCGACGTGACTGCTTCTCAACTCGTTTCCACGCGAGTGAGTCACACTCGAAACAGCAGCTGACAGCCGAACCTCAGCTCAGTCTCAGAGTTAGTCGCTGATAAGGATTCGGACCAAGCCAGGCTTCAAATTATGTTTCAAATATGTGCTGTCATATGCTATCTCTGAACGAAGTTATCACTTCTTAAAGCAAGTTTGATTGATCATTTTATGAACGATCAGGTATCCACCCAGGAGCTGTCGCTAAAAATGCTGCTTTACTGATCATGGACAACGATATGTGAAGAAGCCGAAGTTCATGCTTTTAATCAGTTGTTAATTGCGATTCTAATCTAGCTTAATCTTATATTTTTTGATGTTCTGGGCCGGCCTTTTGTTATTATTGAGAGGAATGAATTAGCAAACAAATTTAACGCGAGGCTTTATCTGATGGCCTCTCTGAATGCATGGCGCACTTCAGAAGTGCGGCCTTCTGCACGCTATACAGCACATGTTTCATTGTTCATCTTTTATCAGCATTGCTTTAAATAGCATTTTATTAATACGGCTCAAGGATTATTTACAACTTCTGGTCAATCCATTTCCAAAGGTGTTGGCAAACTGTTTGAAGAGGCTCGAATTATTTCCCCGAATGTGCATATATAAAAAATCATTAGCGAAGTACAGTGATCATGAATGATGCTAGGGAAAGAATCTATTGTCAAGTCATAACTCTTTACATGCACGAAAAGCTAGATCTCCGTCAGATGTCACCACAGGATTTCCTCAACTCTTAATTCCGCTTCGAGCAATGAGCGATGAACAGCGGCGCTCAACGCACTCAGAGCAGCCAGCGCGACCCCATTGGCATTGGCATAATTGATTGCACGAACGGAACCAGCGGACGACGTTCCGAATTTTCGAGTGCGAGAAAATTGCGCCGAGGAACAACACGGAACTTTCGCCTCCTGTGTATATGCAAATGAAAACTGGCGTAGGTTCAATCATTCAAATGTAAGTTACTTCAGGAATCAACAATACCACAACAAATTTCTCTGGATAAAGCACAAAACAAATAAGCGAATAATGTACAAAAAGATATACAAAGGATCAGTGAGCATTCAACGTGATGATAGCGAAATTACGTGTGAAGATTGAGTTGTCGAAGAACGGACTCATGTCAACGTTCATGAACCAGTAAACATCTGGCGATAAAACGTAGAACCGATCGTCTGCACACCTCCTCGCGACAGACATCAGGTTTGAATTTACCTCTGGCTGACTGTATCCTGGAGCTGAAAGTTGCTACTGCCTTATACATAGGATGTTTTGGATCGTCCAATATCTTTAGACTAAGTGAAACGCCCAATTCGACCACTTTTCTAGCGATTATATCTTCTGATTCAATGCCTAACTTCTGATTTCCTGCAGAACACACTGTTACTAATGACCATTGGATCTTGACCTACGTTAAAGGTTAAAGACCGCACTGCTTTCGAAACGGGCGTGACAAGACAGTGCACCCTCTGATTTAGGCGGATTCCGGCTGTACTAGTCCAACTGAAGACATTCTGGATGGATGGACTCAGCGGCATTGTTTGTGTAATTCTGGACGAATGCAAGTAGAGGTGTGTCATCCGAGTATTTTATACAGCTAGCTCCCATATTGCTTCTGCAGCTACTGACACAGAAGGCGAACAAGGCAAGCGACAGCACAGAACCTTGTGGCAATCCAAATATACAAGAATTCCAACTCAGCCTGAATCTTCCTGCTCAGATGAACTGTGTAATGTCACTGAAATATACTGTTAGCATCGTGACAAGCTCAGAATTGATTCTGGCATTCGTCAAGCTCTGCAGGAAAAGATCTCGTAGAATAGAATTGTAGGGCGAGTGAAGTCCATTAACAACGATCGAGTTCTAACGTGTGGCCTGTCAAGATTGCTGGCAATCAATAATTAATAATAATTATGATATTAATTATCAATAATCACTAGGTCAAAAGGTCAATCGTGTCTCGACCTCGAGTAAACCTGAATTGCAATGGGTCAGCATGGGCAGCAGTGACCTCCAACATTCTAGGTAAAGCGAGTCATTCGAATCACTTGAAAAGCTGACAAGGTAATAGATATTCGCCTTCAATGCTAGGACAATTGCAGATGAGCTATTTTTGGAATAGGACCTATCCGAATCCTTTGCCATGAGTTAGGACTCTGGTTCTCCACTTGTGGGTCGCGACCCTTAAGGATGTCGGAAATAATTTTCTGCGCAGGAGGCACAATTACTTTTGCAACTACTTTTATAGAAAATTTCATCAGGAAGGATTTTAGCATCGAGAAGAAAAGGCTGCTGCTTGCAAACGACCTTGTTTTATTAGCATCTTCTGAAACTGATCTCCAGTGCTCCTTAGAAAGGTTCGCAGCTGAATGCGACGTGACCGGCTTGCGTGTGAACGCATTTAAAACTAAAAGCCTCGTGCTTTCTCTTTTGCTGCCCGTTGCACTCTTCTGATTAACGGAGAGGCAGTAGAGCAGGTGGAGAAGTTCAAGTACCTCGTATTTACTAATGATGGAGAATTGGAGGAAGAGATCGACAGGCGAATTGGAGTAGCCAGTGGCGTTCTGCGCGAACTAACCCGACGCATTGTGACTAACTCAGTCTGAAAACTAAGCACTGTGTAGTAGAGTCGATTTTATCCCATTGGTCATGAGTCATTGGTCATGACTGAGAAACTTCAATCTCGGGTATTAGCGGCTGAAATGGGCTTTCTGGTGTTATTGGTCTCGAAATGGTCCAGAATACAGAAATCGGCGAGAGCCTTGATGAAAAGCCTCTGCTTTCTCAGATTCAGACGTCACAGCTGCGACTGTTTGGGCATGTGTTGCGAATGCCTTCAGAAAGGAAGGCAAAGCAACTGCTGCTTTACCTAGCCGACTGGCAGAATGCCAAGGGTACGACCAAGATTAAGAGATTTAGAAACAAAGCATTCAACACATACTAAAAACGATTTGGAGTTCTTTCGACGTCGTGAAACAGGTCTCAGACGTCAGAAACTTGATTCTACAGGAAGTTTCCAACAACAGAGTGCATCAACAGTGTAAGCATCACTTGAAATCGCATTGGAATTGCCAATTAGAAGAAACTTTACACGACTGGAGAAACGCTCACCAAACCCCGCATGTGGAAATTAATAGTGAAATTAAATCTTGGGGATGAAGATTCGACAGATATCTCTGTCCAATAACTCTATTCAGAGGTCATTTCAGGCATATCCTGGACGTGAAGGAATAGGATATGAATGAAATCAAAGTTTCTTAATCGTTTTCTTTCCAAGCCATTGAACGAACGGACGTAAGTTCATGTTCGCAGCTGCTTGTCTTCGTCGAATATGTTCAACCAGATGACATCAAAGAAGTGTCCTTGCTTTACAGTGCACTTGAAACTACTACGATTGGTGAAAATATTATCGAAAAGCTTGATAAAACACCTGTTTTGAAACTGAAGGACTGCAGTGGAAGGCATCTTTATGGTGTGCTAAAGTCAAAGTCGAGCTTTCAGACAAAAGTGAAAGAACTTACTCCCCCGCCAACAAAGGATATTCATTGTGTGATTCAGTATGTGCTCTTGCTAATACGACTTTTCCAGCTTCTCTTGCAAAAGGTGATCGATTGTCTGATCAGAATGGTGAATTACGGCATTTTCCCATCTGTACAAAAAAGTCATCAGCCTGAAAAACAACATGTGCGTTATGCAATGCAAAACAAAATCATCTTCATCATCATCATCTTCCATCGCCGCTTCTCCTTTCGGGTCGCGGAGGCAGACGCGTCAGACAG